CTTGTGTTTTTTCCCAAAGTTGATCGAAGTTTGAAGAGTCTCCTGCAGCATCGGCTAAAGATTTTTTAGTTTTCCCCATAAGTGTGCTCAATTGGATTCAAGGTTAGGTAACTGTGCGGGCCATTCCATGACATTAAAATCATGATCAGCAAGCCACTGTTTGGTCAGCTATGGTTTCTTCACTTTTCCCGTCGCTCTTAATCCGGCCTCATGTAAACATCTCCGTTTGTTTCAGCACTGACATCCATATTATCATTAACACGCGGCCACCCTGAATTTGGACAGCATTGTCAATCTGTCCTGATCGAATCGTAGATACAACGCGTTTTGGCCTCGGAAAGTTTTGTTTTATAACCACTCCTCTTTTTTTTAAAACAACTATCGTAAATTCCGGAAGATCTTTTAGGTTTTGTTATTACCCCAATAATAACAATTTATATGTTTTTGAAATTTCACGATAAGGAAGTCCTTCTTGTAAAGATTTTATTATTTGATCTTTCAAAAATGGCTTCATACTGTAATTAAACGGAATAGATCATAACCATTAAGGAAATGAAATATTTTCAATATGTAAGAAAAATAACTAAATTGATGATACCTGATAACAAATTTGAGACGAATTATTGAATGGTTATTGCGAAATTTGCAATGAAGTAACCCGAGTCACAAAACTGTTCACACGAAGACTCGTAATAAACTGGCTAATTTATAAATTTATAAATAATAAATAAAGATTATTAGGGTGAATGTTTGTTTACCAACAGTTCAACGATCTCAATCCTATTGCTATTGTCTCAAATTTTTCTATTTTTCTCAAAATTGCATATCCTTAAACCACACGAAAATTCTAGTTCATTAAAGAAATGTTAAGCGACATTTTAACGTCAAAATTGCTGGACCCCTTACTTTTTAGGATTTATTAATTAAGTTTGATCAATTTATAAATATTAATTATCAACTTTCAATTAATTAAGTTAAATATTACTGGGCGTTTGAAACTAAACAGCAGAATGCCAAATATGGTTTGAAAGACAGAAAAAAAGGAAAAATGGCAGTGGGTCTGAGATGACCTGAGCTGTTTGTCGGCTTTTCCTTCTTTGTATAAATCGTAGGCCGCCTAATATCACAGAAAATAGGACTTGTTGGATCAGAGCTAGTAAGTGACAATATATAATACAAAACAGAAGCGGCAACGTCGCTGAGCTACCAAGTCGGTGATCTGACAAGTGTTGTAAAATATATGTCGAGCATAAAAAGATTTAATTACATATTCAGCAGCGGTAACTCAAGCTGATCAAAATGAACCAAAAATATTTTTAAAAGATTAATTGTAGCATTATATACACGAGTGCAAAGAAGTACCTACTAAGTGTTAAAAATGGATGAGCCGCTAAGTGTCATAAGACACATATATATATTCACACAAAAGGACTTATACAAATCCCAAGTTAATTTTGGGTAGGACTCGCGTAGTAGTAGACATAACTTTCTCACCTAGCTGGAAAATATGTTATACAAACTAACTTTGTTATTTTAAATGGGAATCCCATATTTTTATTGTGGAGTTCGAGTCTAAGCTTATTTTATACCAAACTTAGTGAAAGGAAAATTTTTGTAGAATCGACCATTTCTGAGTTATGCCCGACAGAAGACGGGTGATGGGGTATGCTTTTTGTAACAAGATGGCCATTTGTGTCATTTCCCACCTAGATGAGAAAGTTACGTTAAATCGTTTCCGAATCAAATGGGTGGACTATAGAAGTCGATACACCCTGTATACAATGACCTTGAAATACATGCACAGCAAACCTATATTTAAAAACAATTTAAATTGTCTATAAAAGTCTCCACTTTAAGGGCACATTGGCTAGAACGATCCGACTCGACTTTAATATTTTTCAACATAGTATTACCAACGAACATTGAATTCCCTGATTTCACGTCCCTAGCCTCTCACTGTTAATAACTTTTGTTCTGTAAGCCGTACAGTCATATAAATAACTTATTTAAGAAAAGTACTATTTTTTTTTTGTACGTCCTCCTATAAAGTGACCTAGGTTTTGAATTTCATTTTCCGGACCTCCTCTACATAAAATTTATGTATATAATTTGTTTTCCTTTAAGTCCATATACTCAGTCGCGTTATATGTTTCAATTTACTTTAACCTGACTCTAATACACCAGTAACGTTTTGTCATGAATTGGATACCTTATTCCAGAAATACATGACATTACTGGGTATGGTATGGTAGAAAAGTATACTAGGAAGCGGGGTTTGCACTCCCCAGGCACTGCAGCCTTCTGGCTTATTGTAACTTCCTATTTCCTTAGTTCAGTCAATAGACTCAATCCTTCTTCTTAGAAGTATCAGGTCACTGACTCTCGCTGCTGCAATTTGATTCCCTAAGCTTTTTCCATATGTTACGTTAAACCTCCATTGAGCTGTTGCTTCGCAATTGAAGATGATATGAGTGGCTGTTTCCTTCTCCTCATTACATAATCTGCAAATGGGATCATCGCTGTATATACCCATGTTGTGTAGATGTTTTCACAGATGCCAGTGACCGGTTAATAGTCCCACCACTCCTCTGAGTTCTCCAATTGCAGCAGTATTTTTGGCGGTCTCGGTGAGGGTTGTATCATCAAAAGTTTACTATGTCTAGCACCGCTATCCACTTCTCCTTTTGTTTTGTTTGGATCCATTCTGCGATGGAGGATTCTATGTAAGTTTTTGTTATCCCAAGAATAGGTTCGGGGCCTATGTATGGTCTTGCAGATCCTTCTCTGGCCAGTCTGTCTGCTTTCTCGTTACCCAAAATTCCCCGGTGACCTGGCACCCAAGATATCATCAGGTTGTTGTGTTTCCCCAGGTTTTGGAGATTTTGGATGCCTTCACTGACTAATTTTGATGTGATTCTTTTACATGCTAATGCTTTAATGGCTGCTTGACTATCTGATCTTATGAGGATTTTTTTTGACAGTTAACCTCTTTTAAGATTTTCCAGGACACAAGCGTTGATGGCATGTATTTTTGCTTGAAAGGCCGAAGAGTGCTTCCTTAATGAGTTTGATTGCTCATGTTGTGCTTGTATAGAAAACGCCTGATCCGGTTCCTTCGTTTGTTTTGGAGCAATCTGTGTACCATATCATTGATGCTCACCTGTGTTCTTCCTCTCCTTTATAGTCCATTGGGATTTTATAGGAAGTTGTAAAGATTGTTTCCGGGATCATATAATCAGTCCCCCATTTCTAATAATGGGTGTATGATTTTGTTGATTATGGTTGTATGCCCCAATTGTTTAGTTTCTTTCCATTTTAATTGTTTCTGGAGCCTAACTGAGCTTTTTCTAGCCTCTTCTTGTATGAATATTTCCAGTGGAAGTAGATTTAGCAAAGTTTCTAATGCATTTGTAGGGGTTGTTCTCATTGCCCCTGTGATACATAGGTTTGCTAGTCTTTGTACGCTGCCTAATGTTTGGGTAGCTACAATTTGTCAGTATGCTGGGCTCGAATACAGGGCTGCTGGAAATTCATTTAAAAAAAGTTCAGTACGACTTTACCCAAAAGGTACCGAAACATCGCTACAAATAAAAGAAAATTTCTGTTTGCCTTGTTTATACAATACTGCAAGTTTCATAAACTCCCAAACATCATAAATCCACAAATTCAGAAACTCTTGTTCTGATGAATTGAAGTAAAAGGAAAAAAGGACATTCTAGATATTCAGTTATGAATAATATTAGTAGGGAAAAAGTCGTTGCAAATGTTGTTCGGATCATATTTGGTACGTTGTCATTGGAAAAGAAAATTATAAAATCATAAGAGGCTTAGTCCTTTCAGTACTATTTATAGTTTAATAAAATGATATGACTAATTCAACAGTGGATGCTAGTTAGGTAATTTACTAACTTCCTCCCACAATAGATATGGCACACTCTATCATCATTAGTTTTCTTGCTCTGGTCTTGGTATATGATTAAATTTAATAAAACTTAAATAACAGTATTTTTAATTTATTCTTTTTAATTAAATAATTTTGGGTTGCTAAATTGTAAAAAAAACAATATAATTTAGGACAACATTTGTCTTTTGAAAACCCAACACATATTATACATTTATACAATTTTGTCGTTAATGTAAATATATCTGGATGACATATTTATTTTTTGTTCGTATGAAATAAGGTGCAAAGTGTTTCTTATTGAGACATGTAAAGTTTTTCGTTTCAGGTCAACCCTTAAATCCTAAACAAATATTTTCCCAGAAATAACTTTATCTTGCCAGATAAGAGATTGCTTAGCCTAAATTATTATTTCAAATATTGTTGTCAACCTGGTGTTTACACATTTATTGTTAAAATCAGTTTTATAACAATTAAAATTTAATTTTTTTAAATTCCCTAGTTTCATGGTCCACTTGATCAATTAATATATTACAATTAATTAAGGTTTTTAGTTGAGATAAAAAAGTCAGTGTCACGAGCGGGATTCGAACCCACGATCTTCGGCTTGATACGCCGCTGCTCTACCACTTGAGCTATCGTGACCTCAATCCACTCGGACACCAACTTCCCATCTCAACCACCTCTCCTTGTATGAATATTTCCAGTGGAAGTAGGTTTAGCAAAGTTTCTAATGCATTTGTAGGGGTTGTTCTCATTGCCCCTGTGATACATAGGTTTGCTAGTCTTTGTATGCTGCCTAATGTTTTGATAACTACTTTTTGTTGAGCTTTGTTCCACCAGATAAGTGATCCATAGGTTATTCTGGGTCTTATTACTGCCGTGTATAGCCAATAGGCCATTTTCGGGTAGTTGTACAGAAATTTTATGTTCCAAAGCGTCGTAAAGTTTAAAGTAATTTTTAATTTGACAAGGTTTACAGAATTCTAATATATTCGCGATCAAAGGTTATCGTAGATTCTCAAAATCAACCCTTTATACATTGAAATCCATAATTGTAAAAAATTTATGTAAAAAAACTATGCCAAAATAGACTTACTTAATGGTGAAGGAGTATTTTGCTGAACTCGCTGTCTTGCAATGGCTATCCCCACGGGGATACCACCACTGTTATTCCCTATGAACAAATCAAAAACAAATAAATACTCTGAGGATCAAGACAAGAGGCATGTAACAATTAAAAAAGAAAATCATCGAATTAACTTTTTCAGTGATTTTTTCCCTATGTCAAGATTGAATTACCTGTAATATCCGTCTTAGAGCTTGTTGTAACCTCTTGAACTTGACAAGGCGTTGCCGCTGGTTCTGATTTTATAAGACTCCTCGGGGTAGTTCTCGAACAGCCGCCTTCTTTCATCCCCTTCCCACACCATCCTGAAAAGCAGATTATTTCATTTTAAAAATAGAAACGAGTATGAAAAATGCTATAAGTTTTGAAGTTCATTTGCATATTTATTCAAAAGGATGTTGTTATCAGAATTAAGCCCGGGGTAGCGTGCGATGCGACACGCGATACACGAACTCCTATGCGCGAATGGTTCCGAATGAAAAATCATGCAATTAGTCCAACGACTGGGATCATGTCGACATAAAATAGTAATAAAAGCTCTTTGAATTGCATTTCTATGACAAACATATACGCAATAGGTTTAAAAAATAAACTTTAAAAGTAAAAAAAAAATTTACCAAGACTGTTCTTTCAAGATATTTGTCCTTTAATTCTAGTGTTATATTCCACTAAAAGAGCAAAGGGACAAATAAGAAATTATAATGGCAATAATGGAAACAATAAAGAGATTATAAAGCAATGGTTAGAAAATTTTCTTACAATTTAAAAAAAAATCATTTGTCAAAGCTCAAATCTATAAGAAGGAATGGATCAGGCCATAGTTTGACTTTTTAATAAACACATGAACATTAGTTTGACTGTTCAGTTAAATACATGAATTTTAGTTTGATTGTTTAATTAAATACATGAACGTTAGTTTGACTATTTAATTAAATACCTGAACGTTAGTTTGAATATTTAATTAAATACATGAACGTTAGTTTGACTATTTAATTAAATACCTGAACGTAAGTTTGACTATTTAATTAAATACCTGAACGTTAGTTTGACTATTTAATTAAATACCTGAACGTTAGTTTGACTATTTAATTAAATACTTGAAAGTTAGTTTGACTATTTAATTAAATACCTGAACGTTAGTTTGAATATTTAATTAAATACATGAACGTTAGTTTGACTATTTAATTAAATACCTGAACGTTAGTTTGACTATTTAATTAAATACTTGAAAGTTAGTTTGACTATTTAATTAAATACCTGAACGTTAGTTTGACTATTTAATTAAATACTTGAAAGTTAGTTTGACTATTTAATTAAATACCTGAACGTTAGTTTGACTATTTAATTAAATACCTGAACGTTAGTTTGACTATTTAATTAAATACCTGAAAGTTAGTTTGACTTTTTAATTAAATAAATGAACGTTAGCAAAATGAAAACCGAAAAGTTAATGATGAGAATAGATGATACAATTCAAAATATATACATTTAAAGAAGAAAGCAGCATTGGGTGTATTTTCACCAAGAAAGAATAATTTGGAGGTTATTAACCATTATAATCGAAAATAATTGACAGTTATATTAATTATCTCAACCAATACATAAACATTAATAAATTGAAAGAAGTTATTTGGTCAATCGGTCCACGAAATCTAATGGAGTTATTATTAACTTCAACTTAGTATTAACACGAATCATATTTATCAGACAAAACTAGTCACAAAGGTTGAAACAGTTTATAGTTCTTCTTTACGCGTTGAATCGGGAGTACCACAAGGTACAGTCTTAGGCCCAACTTTGTTTCTTTTATATATTAATGATTTTTTGAAAATTATACTCTCTGGAAAAATTTTTAGTTAGGCAGATAATACTGGTATCATTTTCTGAGGTGATAATTTAATTAATTTAACTAAGACTAAAAATAATGATATGAAAATTATTAATTTCCAGTTAAACTAAAACTTTCTACTTTTAAACAAAAAAATGTATTGTATTACACTTTTCATTGAAAAAGAAAATATATACGAACAATTTAAAATTTGCTTTTCATACTTGTGATGATAATGATGCGTGTTCTTGCTTGCCTATCCCTTTTGCTTACAGTATAAGATATCTTGGTGTGACATTAGATTCGAATTTGAGATTTAATTTACATATTGATTCTTTTTTTTCCCGTCTGAGAAAGCTCTTTTATAAATTTAGAATTTTACGCAAGTTTATGAAAATTGAACTCTGAAGGGCAACATATATATTTCTCATGCACAATCCATAATAGCCTATGGTATTGTTTCCTAGGTACTAATAAATGCTACATTAAGACTCTGAATGTAACTATAAACTCACTTTTTAAAATTATTTTATGTAAGTGTATAGATATAATACGAAAAAATTATACACTGAATTTAAAGTAATGAATCTATACCAAATCTTTCTTAAATGGTCATGTTTGTATATTATTTTTTTTTAAGAGAGGATTATTATTCAAAATTTCAAAAACTACAAAGGAGGCAACAAATTTACAATTTCAAAAATTTTAAATTGTAGTTAAGGTATTTTAAAGCCAAGATTTTTTTTTCAAGCTATAAGTTTATTCTGTATTATATTTATTTATTTGTTTGTTTTTCATTATTTCATGTTTATTTCTCTGATGGTCTTCAAAACCTCCTGCTGTCTAGTACAAGCTTTGCTTTTTGACAGCAGGCAGGGATGTACCAAAATATTTTTTTTTGCTATAAATTTATACGTAATGTAAATTCTTGCGAATAAAGATTTATTATTATTCCATTAATTAAGGTTTTTAGTTGAGATGAAAAAAAGTTAATGGCACGAGCGGGATTAGAACCCACGATCTTCGGCTTGATTCGACACTGCTCTACCACTTGAGCTATCGTGACTTCGATCCTCTCGGACATAACTTCCCATCTCAACCCCACGTTTTGAGTTTTCCCTCCTTTTTGCCATTTTTCAAATGTCGTGTAATCTATTTGATTCTTGGCGACAAATGAAATGGCCACGGAGAGCTTTAGTGAAGGTATACTTCATTTAANGAGAGAGAGAGAGAGAGAGAGAGACAGAGAGAGACAGAGAGAGACAGAGAGAGAGAGAGAGTATGTGTGTGAAATATGTAAATAGTTTGGTGATAGTGATAGAGAGGTAATGTTGATGGTATGTTTTATTTAACCGGGCAAAGTTCTATGAACCTTTGTACCACTTGTAAAGCGTGGAGAGTGATATTTTTATTTCCTTTTTAAATAAACAGTGTGAGCTGCCGTTTTCGTTAAACATAAAGCAGAGGCGAGTATGTTTTTCATTCTCCTGTGTTAATTTCCCAATGTGACCGCAAACTTAGGCCTGCTAGAATGTTACTTTCATTTTGCTAACTGCTGGCAATAGCGCATAGTTTCAACGACCTTCCGCCATCCGGATGGGCCATTCCATTCAAGGAAATTAGCCTTCCGGGAAAAGAGTTTTTCCACGTTTCATTTCACCGCCGTGGAAACGGAAAAAATAACCCCTAAACACGTAAAGATTTACGCCTTTTCGGAAAAACGGGTGATTCACGTATCAACAACAGCTGGGGGCCATGGGGTCGATCAAAGTACAGCGAGGGTGAAGGTGACTCATCCGGGTGAAATGCGGACAGTTAAAAGAAGAATGATTGATCCCCAACAATTGATGTATCCTTCCTTTTATCTACACTTTGAAAGGGAAACGTGACAACAATTACCTCTTTCAACTTTGCTGGATAACTCATCCCGACATTCGAGCACCCAATAATAATAAGTTGATTAATTAACATACAATTAATGTCTAACAATATTTTTAATTCGTATTTGACAAAACTTTCCAAAATTTTATATAAGGTGAGATTTAAATGTCTTTAGGACATTTTCGTAGGAAGGAACTAAGCATTAAGGCCATTTCGGTAGTTTCATAACAATCCTACCAACTCACTCATTTTTCTCTATTCTTCTCCATAAAACAGGATGTACAGTTTTAAGATAGTGTATGGTGATTAGTGACCGTTAATCGTTAATTATTCAGAAATCGTTAGATGCGGTCTGGTATGATGTAGGTTTCAGAAAAACATTTTCTTTATCGTGCCAACGTTTCGATCTTCATTAAGATCATCTTCAGGGCCTAGGATTTAAAACATTGTTTAAATTTAAAAAATACCTATAGGATGTGGAAAAAAGTGAATTTATACAATGCAAAATAAATATTTTTTTATGGGTGGTGATTAGTGACCGTTAATCGATAATTATTCAGAAATCGTTAGATGCGGTCTGGTATGATGTAGGTTTCAGAAAAACATTTCCTTTATCATGCCAACGTTTCGATCTTTATTGAGATCATCTTCAGGGCTCAAAGTGTTTGTCTTCTTTGCAATTGTGCCATTCTTACGTGTCGTACTGAGAGTTTCTGTTTAATTTTCATTAACTAATTATCTCAGGTATGTTAATTAAAGTTGAGCCATTTCAAAATCTCGAAATTATTGTAATGCAAGTAAGCCTAACGCTTTGTCCTGTTAAGGAAAGAAATCATTAGTGATTCGGCTACGTTCCTCAATGAAGATGGCGTGAAGTCGAAACGCGTATTGAGTGAATCGTAATTGACTAGAGAAAATATACAGATTTCGTTGAATGACAAGTGTTGATCTTTTCAACAAGAAGACTTTTATGAATTTATAAACAATAATCAGCTTAAATATAGGGTGACAGAAAAACGTTCACCGTATTGGGTTGAATTATCTAATGTTTTTATTAAGTAATAAATAACACTTAAATATAGGATTTGACCAAATTATTGCATATTTTTGTTTAAATTGTTTAAATTTAATAAATACATGTAGGATGTGGAAAAAAGTGAATTTATACAATGCAAAATATATTTTTTGTATTCATTCAAAGTATTTCTACTCACTCAAATTGTTTGTCTTCTGTATAATTGTGCCATTTTTGCGTGTCGTGTTGAGAGTGCCAGTGAGAACATAAAACAGCAATATCTCACTGGCACTCACAACACGACACGCAAGAATGGCACAATTACATTTGAGTGAGTAGAAATACTTTGATTGAATATAAAAAATATATTTTGCATTGTATAAATTCACTTTTTTCCACATCCTACATGTATTTGTTAAATGTAAACAATGTTTGTAAATCCGAGGCCCTGAAGATGATCTCAATAAAGATCGAAACGTTGGCACGATAAAGAAAATGTTTTTCTGAAACCTACATCACACCAGACCTCATCTCACGATTTCTGAATAATTAGTTTTAAGTTAGGTAAAAATTACGCATAACAGTGGTCGAAAAATTCTTTCCGCGTCAATACGAACTTGTTTATAAATAAATGACAAAACGCACATTGAAGGATGTCGCCAATAAAAATTAAGACCAAGCGGTTTTTAGTTAGTTTAAATTATTTCACTTACCGTTGGAAATTTATTTGTGTCTGTTTATGTTCTGCTATTTATTGCTTTTCGTTACATTTTTTTTCAATGGTTGTTACTAATGTGGATCATTGTATTTAGTTAATCCTATTCCTATCCTAACCCTTCTCAAACATTTGTTGCTATATGAAAACTTTTCTAAACAAATATTTATTTTGCTTAATTTTCATAGAAAGAATTTAAAAAAGATTCAAGACTTCTTTACCACATTTCAGTTTGCAATAATGATGAATAGCAAAGAGATAAATACAAAAAAAAATTGCTAATATCAAAAAATGTATTGTAGATAAACAATCTGAGAGTAACTACAGAACGAATTGAAGCTTTATAACTTACTTTATTACTTCGAAGCCGCGGGCAAGTTTAGATATTGAGATAAAAGGTTATTTTCACCTGAATGAGCTCCACCATAAATATTATAATGGGACCTTATTACAGGCTAGGACCTCCACCTACACTATTTTAATAAAAATCCTTTTTAATTCCGACGAAAACGTTGCAGGGCTTGTTTCACCCTGGCTATTAACCATATTGACCTGATCCGTCAGAGTTCATTAATCCTCGGCGATAAACAAATTTATAAAAAGAATCACGGCGCGAAGAATATGAAACTTCGTTCGCCTTTTCTTATTAACCAGGTCTGCTAGTCTGTTTTCATTTATTCAGAAGGAAAAATCATTTTTCATCTTTAGGGCGATTTCGAGCATATAAATGATCAAATTAACCCCTTTGTCTTGAAGGGAGGGATTTATTTTAAGCAGGGATATCGTTGTAATTACAGGCAAATTATTCGTAAGAATTATTCGATATCGCCGAGTAACCATCGCCTCGCCCGGCTGGACTGCCAGCTTATAAAGCAGATCGAAGATAACAATTGGAACGATCAGAATAAACACCTGTTGTTGGCCCTCGCCGTCAAAAGTACCGGAGGTGGGCACCATTTGAATTATGTGCGGGTGAACTTGAAGCGGATTCCTAAAACAAAACCACTTTAAGCGGGAACACACTTACCCGATGCAACGCTAAGCGACGCAAAACCAAAGTCCAATTTTCCGTAAGATTGTATTACCCCCGTGCACATCTGCCCGATGCCACGCAACGCTACCCTACTCTATGTTACGCGACCCCCACTGTCCAGATTTTCGTCGAGTAGCATCGAGTACAGTCGAAGACAAAAGAACAGGACACTCATAATTTTATTTCAAACTATATGTATTATTGTCGTTATATTAATTACAACATACTTATTTTAATAAAAACCAAATTAAGCGAGATCAAAATTTCATTAGTTTTTATTTAAAAAAAATAATTTTAATAATTTGGCAGAACATTGATCAGAACATGTTGATAAATATGTTATAATAATATTGATAGAAAGAATTCAACTAACAATTTATTACATGGTTGTGCTCATAAAATTTAACTAACAATTTATTACATGGTTGTGCTCATAAAATTTAACTAACAATTTATTACATGGTTGTGCTCATAAAATTTAATTAACAATTTATTTCATGGCTTTCCTCATAAAATTACACCATTTTTGGGTACTCTTGAACTCTCTCTTCAAAGTTCTTTTCAACTTTCCCTCACGGTACTTATTCGCTATCGGTCTCGTAGTTGTATGAAGCCTTAGATGGAGTTTACCACGCGCTTAGGGCTGCACTCTCAAGAAACCTGACTCTAAGGAGAGGCCCACCCGGACCCGGACCCGGCCGTCTACGGGCCTGGCACCCTCTCGGGATCGCGGCCTCGTTCAAGATGGACTTGGACGCAGGGCTCGGAGTCCGGGGTAATTGGACCCTCCTAAACACTACATTTCCCTAAGGGAGTACCCCTTGGGATTCAGTGCTGGGCGAGTACGTCTGAACAGGTCACTCACATTTTTTGTAGTTTATTGCAAACTAGGTATATGTAATTTTGTCGTTATATTAATTACAACATTCCTATGATTAATGTAAACAAAATTGAACGAGATCAAAAATTCATAAATTTTTATCAAAATTATTTAATTATGATGGTTAGGCAGAAAATTTAACGAAACACCGGAATTACTTTATTTAAAACAATTAAGTTTAACACACAATTTGTTATATGGGTGTGCTCATAAAATTTACTAACAATTTATTACATGGTTTTGCACATAAAATTACACCATTTTCGTCGATTAGCGTCAAAACTGGACACTCATATTTTTTGTAGATTATTTCGAACTATGTATATGTAATTTTGTTTTAATATTAATTACAACATTCCTATTTTAATGTAAACCGATGGTTGAACGAGGTCAAAAATTCATAAGTTTTTATAAAAATTATTTAATTATGATGGTTAGGAAGAAAATTTATTAAAACACCGGAATAACTTTATTTAAAACAATTAAATTTAACTAACGATTTATTAATGGTTTTTGGCTCATAAAATTAACTAACAATTACATGGTTTTTCACATAAAATTACACCATTTTCGTCGGTTAGCGTCAAAACCGGACACCCATATTTTTTGTAGATTATTTCGAACTATGTATATGTAATTTTGTTTTAATATTAATTACAACATGCTTATTTTAATGTAAACCAAATTAAACGAGATCAAAAATTCATGAGTTTTCATAAAAATTATTTAATTATGATGGTTAGGCAGAAAATTTATCGAAACACCGGAATAACTTTATTTAAAACAATTAAATTTAACTAACGATGTATTACATGGTTGTGCTCATAAAATTTAACTAACAATTTATTACAAGTTTTGCTCAAAATAGTGCATTAAGAACAAAAGAGGCGTTGCGATTGTGATACTGATTTGTGATACGCGCTGTATGACTGTACGTGGCGTGCGCTTGATGTCGCATAGATGTGCACGCCCTACTAAAACGAGATAAGGCGTCGGGTAATATCGGGTAGGTGTATCAATACGTAAGTAAAAGAATAAAACAAGTCTCTTTGACATCCCTAATAAAACTTAAAGGCGGTTCAAATTCTATTCACATTCCCAAATTTGATTTGGTTGTTGTCTTTCGCATGAAAAAAAGTGACCTGGAATTGACCATCTTTCTCATTCCAGCATGTCTCACTTCCTCGGATATAAGAAAAGCCGGACGGGATGATGTACTATGATCGGAGGTCACGGTACGTAGGTAAGCACTCGGAAAGCTGTCAATCCTCGTTGGCAAATTCTGAGCGAGGTCCTCTTTACAACCCTTGTCAACCGGACAAAGGATCAAGACCAAGGAGTTGGCTCTCTTATCTCCATATCCACTCAGATGGAAGTACTTATGGCCACAATTTTAACAGCAGATATTTTAATTTTCATTTAAGTGTTGCCATGGTGTAAGACAGGCTTTTGAAACAATTGACTTTATGCTCAATTCAATTGTGATTTAATTAGATTTATATGGTTAAGAATAAATCAATGCACATTCATTCTTTCGTTTGTTAAGAGAAAAACAATAACAAATCTTGAAAGAGAGAGAGAGGGAGAGAGAGAAAAAAGAGAGAGAGAGGAGAGAGAGAGGAGAGGAGAGGAGAGGAGAGGNAGAGAGAGAGAGATAAAGATAAAGAGAGAGAGATAAAGAGAGAGAGAGAGAGAGAGAGAGAGAGAGAGAAAGAGAGAGAGAGATAAAGAGAGAGAGAGAGATAAAGAGAGAGAGATAAAGAGAGAGAGGAGAGAGAGATAAAGAGAGAGAGGGAGATAGAGAGAGAGAAAAGAGAGAGAGAGAGATAAAGAGAGAGAGAGATAAAGAGAGAGAGATAAAGAGAGAGAGAGAGAGAGAGAGAGAGAGAGAGAGAGGAGAGAGAGATAAAGAGAGAGAGGGAGATAGAGAGAGAGAAAAGAGAGAGAGAGGAGAGAGAGAGGAGAGGAGAGGAGAGGAGAGATAAAGAGAGAGAGGGAGAGAGAGATAGAGAGAGAGAGGAGAGAGAGAGAGGCGAGAGAGAGGAGAGAGAGAGAGAGATGGAGAGATGGAAAAAGATACAGACAGTGGAAGGAAGTGAGCGAGAAGACTGAGAAGAGAATTCTGAAAAGGAAAGACATTAAATGTACTGTGTATATGTAATATATATACATGTATGTATAATGTGTGAAATTAAGACCAACAAATAGCTGAGGTTATCGCCGGTCCACTGCATGTTTGTAGTTCTTTCTTTTTTTAAAATAAAATGACATTGCAAAGTGTAATACTATTAATACTATAAACATATAGTAATGTATGTCAGAACGAATAATGGGCTAAGTTTGTTTTAACTTAATGCGACAAACATTGTAAACCATATGCTTGGGAAAAGGGGACAGGAACACTATTGACGTCATTTAGATAAAACGGCATATCGTGCCGAATTGACGTCAATAGTCAGCCCATAGCCAAGGGGTTTTACGGTGGGAGGAACTTGTTTCGCGCAAGGCTCCAGACATTTATTGCTTACGTACGACAGAGCTGTCATCCCTAATTATTCATATTCAACGTTTATCAGACTGCAATTTGTGAGTAAATTGTTTGCGGATTTTTGTTTTTGTTTTTAATCTCACCTGGAATCGGTTTGCAGGGGCAAGTATCCTTCCGAGATATCTTGGACTCTTCGGTAATGACCTGATGGACCTGAGACACGCTTCGGGTGTATCCTCTTGTAAAAACTTGCTCTTCGACTGTAACAAAAAAAACGAAACAAATGTGTCAGACGCTGATTTATCGAGATATTTCTGTTGGCATGCTGCAACCATGCAATTTCTATGTTAAAAAATGTTAGTAACTATGTACGTAGTGTAAAAATCCGAGCCTATTAATACTTAATGTTCCAATTAAATACAAAAAAAAGCAAAGCACTGTATAAAATAAAACAAAATCGATTTTTAAAAATTTATGCCGCTTTTACTTTGCGGATTCTCAAATTTAATGCCGAAGTAAGGGCTTATTAGTGAATTTTATTTTTTCATGTAATCATTAGAGCAGCCTTTATCTTTATTATCGAAATAAAATCTTTTTATAAATAAAATAAATAATATTATTAAGCAAAAACCAGTCGCGTTGTAAGGTTTCTTTAAGACACAGTAAAGTCCTCAATTTAACTAATTGGAAATGAATCCAATTTAATATTTTACCTCCCCTTAATGGATTCTAGAGAAATATCTCAAATCTAAAATCATTATTCTTTCTTATACCTAGGTTACAAAATAAACAAAGGATTCATTTCTATACAGGTGTTCGACTACTCGTGTTACAAATTTTGCTAGCAGATTCTACATTAAAAATGGAACCAAAAAGTCCTAATTAAATATGGTCCGTATCTCAACAGCTTCGAAGTTTATTCCCCTTTATTTGATTTTTTAAGATTTCACAAACTTTTCACGAATCCCCAAAAGAAATAATCCATGAGGTCTGGCCAATAATAACAATAATAGAATAATCCTTTAATCAAACACTTGCACTATTTCGGTTTCGAACCCAAATTAAAAAATGTTTAATAAATTCATTCAAAATTTCCTTAAGTTTTTTAAATTTTTTCCCTTATCGAGACGTCAACCACGGTTTTTTTTCCTTTCCTTCATAAATTTCTTCGAAAAAAAATTTAAAAAGCAATTACAATTACACCACTACAAAAGATATTAAATGGGGTATGTTTTCTGAAATTTGCTGGTCCCTAGGTTTGGAAATAGTAGTTTAGAATCATCATAGTAAGTTATTCAGCTTTGAAATGTTTTTTTGTCAAAGTTATGGCTACTAAAACGCTTATTTCACCAACGATTACAAGTTTAGTATTTATCACATCTTATTGGAAATTTAACGTAGTTTTCGATGGTATCAACGGATTTGTCCAAAACCTTTTAGTTTTGGAGTTATCACTGTTTATTTGAAGCAAGGTCGTTAAATCTTAAAAAATTAGAAAAAATGGAATAACTCCTAAACTGTTGAGATTCGGACCATAATTAATTAGGACTTTTTGGTTCAGTTTTGAATGTAGAATCAATTGGCAATGGAGTAGCCGAATAACCTGTATATAAATAAAATGAAATATTATTTGACATACAAGTTAGCTCCCAAGTTATTATCAAATAATCCTTTCATGCAATGGACATTAATTGGACAGTTCTAAAAATGCATTTCCTCTTCGATAACAAAAATACTGGGTCGTTAAATTGACACACTTTGCGTGTGAGCGCCCGCATGCGTGCTTGTGTGCACGGTATAATTTTTTGTACATAGAATCCAATACAATAATCATAGTTTTCAAATGTCATGTTTGGCTAGGTCTTTTATTTATGTTATAAAAGGATCAATGTTTTGGCTATTTTTGAAAGCTCTTCATTCTTTATTCACCCACATTGATTTTTGAGGTATTAAGTTAAACAAATCAGGGAAAGGATGACAGAGACAAAAAAAAAGGTCTATTCGTTTCGTATTTAACAGTAACCCTAACCATCCATAAACAATACCAAACGCATCATATCTTTAATTTTTGATAAAGATTGATTAGAATTGATCCTTGACCTCTGTTGCTTCCCAAGTAACAAATATTACTCGAATTATAGTTTTATTCAAATCCTTGTATCAGCACTGGTTTCTTTTTATTATTTCTTCTACTATGAGTCGTGGCAAATGGATCTCTTTAAACTTCAACGTACTTTTTTAACGTTTTGAAAGTGTGAAAGATACATTGACTCGAGGTCAGTCTGAAGATGAAAAACATAACTCGTGTATTTCTAGTAAGCTGAGTAATTTCTCTTTGAAAAATATAGTAATTTTTCAAGCCAAAAATGGTGTACACCCGTCAATTATGTTCCATAGCATAAAAAAACTTGGCGACTGCTTGAAGCACATTATACTCAGCGGATAAAAGTACTTCGTACGTTTTAATTAAGCTCTCGTATGTAGCCATAGATATTGGTGATCGATCAGCTCGTTGTGGACCAGTTTAATGATTATCATCCAAATTTGGACTCACGTGTGAAACGGAATGTGGTGGAAAATTACCATACCTTGATGTATTGTTACTCAGGGATAATAACACTATACTCACAAAATGGTATAAAAAACCATCATCATGAGACAGGATCCTAAATTATAACTCCCTCCACTGTTTTAAATTAAAAATAAATGTGATATACAACCTAACAGATAGAATTGTTAAACTTAGCTTCCCTCGGTTCCACTGTGAATGTAAAACATTAGTAAAAGATATTTTAGTTAAAAATCAATACACTACCTTTCTAGTAAATAAATAAATTAATGATAGAATTTTAACATATAGGAATGAAATTGAACCTGTTAAAATACCGTTAAATTATACAGAGGTATTACATATGTGGAAGGCATCACTAACAAGCTCTCTGCCATGGTAAGGAATAGAACTGCAAACTGTGATATACCGATTGTGATAGCTTTAAAGTACAAGAACAATTTGATAAATCTAATTTTTTTTTGCCTTATGATCTTTGCATATTAGCTATGACGAATTCTTATATATGTTGTTCAAATTGGGGGTTATCGGGAAAAAAGGGCCAGAGGCGACGGTGGGAATCGAACCCACGACCGCGGCGTGAGAGTCTCTCATGCTAACCACTCGGCTACCGCGGTCCCCAAATCTAATTTTTTCAAAATTGTAATCCAAAGTGCCAAAACAACTGTGTAGTAATGTTGTTTATAAAATGTAGGTTTTCAGAAAAACGTTTTCTTTATCGGGCCAACGTTTCGATCTTTATTAAGATCATCTTCAGGACCTGGGATTTACAAACATTGTTTAAATTTAACAAATACATGTAGGACGTGGAAAAAATTGAATTTATACAATGCAAAAAAAATATACGCAGAAAACAAACACTTTGATTGAATATAAAAAATCTCAAATATCGAATCTCACGATTTCCGAATAGTTATATTATATATTTATGCATTAAATAATGTTTAAAAATAAATCTCAACCGTATTCTTATAGATGCTAATTCATGTAACCTAAGAACAGATACATCAAAAATAAGTGAAATTTATAGTTCTATCCTTAACCAACAGCTTTAATATTATAATATGTACCTGATCGTTTATATGTGATAATTAATGATTATTCAGAAATCGTGAGATGCGGTCTGGTGTGATGTAGGTTTCTGAAAAACGTTTTCTTTATCGGGCCAACGTTTCGATCTTTATTGAGATCATCTTCACAGGGCCTGGGATTTACATACATTGTGTAAATTTAACAAATACATTTAGGATGTGGAAAAAAGTGAATTTACACAATGCAAAAAAATATTTTTTATATTCAATCAAAGTGTTTGTTTTCTGCGTATATATTTTTTGCGTTGTATAAATTCACTTTTTTCCACGTCCTACATGTATTTGTTAAATGTAACCAATGTTTGTAAATCCCAGGCCCTGAAGATGTTCTCAATAAAGATAGAAACGTCCGCACGATAAAGAAAATGTTTTTCTGAAACTTACGTCACACCAGACCGAATCTCACGACCGACTCGTTGCGGCATTTCATGACATTAATTGTAAGGTAATAAAACTTTATATGGTGAAATTTGATTATGGTGCTTAGTATGGCATGCAAGGTCGGACAGAAAACAGCGTTTTTAAAAACTATTAAAATAACGAAAGCAAAGGCCAAAAAATCAATGTCTGTTTTGAAATGTTAACTCTCAAAAAATATTATAAAAATTAATAAAGCCAGTATCCCGTATCCATCCATTTCTAGTTGTAACATTGAAAATAATTATATAGAATTTTACAAATAGCGTAATAAACCTATAGAAAAATAATTTCTGTGGGATTTTCTATACGCAAAAGTAAGATATATAGGCTTAAAGAAATAATGCGAATCCTGCACATGGTGCTCGGAAAAAAAATTATTCTAGAGATTTATTTCCTTTCAAAATCACTAAAGATTTCTCGTTAAAGACCAACCGTCCGAAGAAACTGTTAAAGAATGTTCTATACAAGTGCTTCGACAATTTGATCGCAACTTGAGCACCCTCGAAAACCTCATCGATTGTGACCATATTATAGGAGGACGTTCTTTAAGCCAGAAACACACTTCCCTGATGCTACACCATGCGACGCTACCCTATGCTACCCGACTCCGATTTTCCATAAGATTGTATTACCATCGTGCACATCTACCCGATGCTATGCCACGCTAACCTACCCGACGCGATCCCCACTGTCCAGATTTTCGTCGGGTAGCATCGAGTACAGTCGAAGACAAAAGAACCGGACAGTCATATTTTTATTCAGACTACATGTATTATTGTCGTTAGATTAATTATAACATACTTATTTTAATATAAACCAAATTAACTGTGATTAAAAATTAATTACTTTTTATTTAAAAAATTAATTTTAATGGTTTGGTAGAAAATTAATCAAAACACCGGAATACGATTTTTTGATATAACGAATTTAACTCACAAGTTATTGTACTCGCTTCGGCAGTACATATACTAAAATTGGAACAATTTATTACACGGTTTTGCTCATAAAATTTAATTAACAATTTATTTCATTGTTTTGCTCGTAAAATCATACGATTTTCGTCGGATAGCATCAGAACAGGACAATGATATCTTTTGTAGTTTATTTCAAACTAAGTATATGTAATTTTGTCGTTATATTAATTACAACATGTTATTTTAATGTAAACCAAATTAAACGA